GAAATGAAGACTGGAATGCTGAAAGTAAATTCAAGCGGAAGATGGGGAATTCATACAGAATGGTGTTAGGAGAACTATGATTGAATGCACGAGCGCCACTGTTTGCGATACAGCCATATCACTCAGTGTACCAAACCATCGGTGACCATAATCCCGGGGTCCCCAGCCAGGGAGCCTAACGGGCCTATGTGACCTAGTCTCCTGGTTTGGGTTTTCATGCCCTCATGTCAGGTCTTTGTTTGGCCAACCTCGACCCTTTTCTAACCGCTACCTGTCTCGGCAAACATCGCTCGCCGTGGCAACCTATCTGGTGACATGCGTAGCACATACCCCAACCAACGTAATCTATGGGGGCCGATCACTTCCTCTAGTGGACGACCGCGACTGCCTAANCTGCTAGTCCGGTTACCCCAATGCGACGTGATTCATGTTCACCGAAATTCAATTACTACTTCCGACACATTCCCTAAGTATGAAGATGTTATTTTCAAACTCACTCACTTCTCGATGCAGGGTGAAAATATACATGAATCTAAACACTAAGGTTCAACTGTTCAAAAATTGTCTACGTTTTTCTTTTCCCTCTGGTTGAGATATACACTGGATAGGTGCATTAAGAATGACATTCCGCTCACTTTCGACGAATTTAAAAAAAAATGTCACCTTGCATAATGAGAGCTTGGGCAGATGCGTTCAGAAACTTTATTCATGATATAATGATGATTTCAATTCTTAAGAAAGACAACTTTTATTCTTTATCCGTTCACAAGGGTTAAATTTCTAAACAGAATTGCAGTTCGAGTCTAAGCAGGAACGGAAATAACGGATTAAGAACCCTCTGATAGGATCAAATAGCTTCCAGGTGAGATTTACCGTCCTTCAAAGATTCTACTGCAAAATAAAAAAAGTATGACAACCGTGTGTGGGGTGGGAGCGAAGCGGAAGGCAAATCACTCACAGGGAACGAACGTACACGCACATGATGGAAACGATTATCATGACTTGATGTGTGTAGTAGAGCTATAGATAACAGTGCTGAATATCGGTCTTCCCAACTATGTTGTTCGGAGGCTAGTTCGATGTACATGCAACTATATGGCCATGAAGATTACAGAGTGAACTGGGAAATTCGCATGAGGTTGAAATGTGATCAGATCAGCCAATGAACGGTAGGTCTATCGCTTATTCTTATGTGCTCGTACAGCTGTCCTCAGGCTCTTAATCGAAAACAATTTAACACCCGTTACAACACTGCATTGAGCGTTAACAAGTTCACTGACTAGGCGAAAATGAAAAATAAGGACTTTTTTGTCAAAGCTAACGGGAAAGCGAGGTCAGTTCCATATGCATATTATGACAGTTCACTTGCAAGTGGGACAAACCAACTGAAAATAAAGGGAACATCACATTCTATTGCTGGGACCCTTCATTTATAAGTATCATGCGTAAGACCTAATTTAGGCCTAGGTTTGACCCCGGGATCAACAGATCTGTGCAACTCCACCTTGACATATATTGGGGCGAGGTAGGGTTCGGTGATAGGCAAGAATAAACTGACGGATATCAGCGATCCATGTGACACTAGATGTCCATCAGCTGGAACAAACCTAGATTTGGTAAGAGTGCAAACGATCGATCCATAATACCATAGAAACGGAGTCCAAAAATAGGAGCGAATCAATCAGTTTGTTACTAAGCCGTTCGCAAGGTGATGCAACACCATACACACAGAGTGGAAATCCGTAATTGGATCACACAAACACATGCATACATACTGGAACGGAGCACATCAGGCAACAGGTCCTGGGGTAGTACTGGATTGGGATTATGCTTATCAATGCACGTTTGAAATTTCATGGGAGCAAGAAGCGCCTATAAGATGCGCTATCAATCGGTACAAGTAATGAATGAACAAAATAAATAATGAGCGGTTGATGCCACCAGTGTTTTGTATTTTAATCATAACTTCTGCACACGTAAAGCCTACATTTCAGTCAAAAATGAACACATAAGAGAGAGGGGAAATGAAGTTATATCCCGAAACTTTTGACAAGGTCTATGAAAACCTGTTCTTTGTTGACTGGAATACGTGTCAAAGAAGGTACCTTAGAGTTACGATGTATGTTTATACGAGAAGGAACACCACGATATTGGTGTCCCGTTGACGGATAGGAACAACATGAAATTAAATGTCTGCAGTGAATGTGTGGGGTCTGTAAGAATCCTACGTGCGAAATTTTCACATGCACCCCAATGACGTTTGTACAAGTTAGTTACCAACTCCTCCGCCGGGATTGAAGAGAAGCGGCTGATGATGCCATGTTGAAGCAGTTTGAAGTCTTTCTTTAGCAGAATGGAAAGTTACAGTTACAGTTACAGGTTATCATTAAGCAAAACGGGGAAAGTACATTGACAAACGAATTTGGAGACACTTGATTGTGGAATTCGAAGCCCACGAAGTCTACAGACATGAAAAGAAAGTCATCGAAGTTTACTGACGATATGTTGAACGTGAGACGTCCAATGAACATTATCGTCGATAAAAAAACTCAGGTATTTGATGCAGCTTACTCGGGATACTAATTCAGAGCCCATTGATACCGGTTCAGCTGGAATAAGAACGAGGCAACGTCAAGAGACATTCCAAACATTTTAAAGGATTGAAAGAGAGACTGAATGTGGCGGAAAATTGTTGAACGTTGAACTCTGATCAGGTTAAAATAACACTCGACAGTCGCTGAGTTTCTAGAGTTGTACAATTGTTCGTTTTGTTTTCTGAATGATTTCAACAGTGGAGATGCTATTCTTCCGTTACAAAAAAATAGTTTCAAAATAGCAGCACAGGTAAAACATATGGTTGAGCGTTTTAGTGAATAAGTTGACTGCATCATGTAAAGAAAGGAACGGTACTAATGAAACGGTTAGGAAGAACAGTGTTTCTTGGGGCGAGATTGCGAAGACGAATGGTGGTTCGGTTGGTTCTTGTGAGTGTATTGTGACTGGGACCGGATTACACTGTGGGTCTCGTGAGAATCGAAACGTGATTACCCGTGGAAAGAGATGCTGTGAGTTTTGAGGCAAAATTTTCCGGGTGATTAGTAATCACCCTGGCTAAAAATGAATTAACTCTTGTGTTGGATAGGCAAATACCAGTTAGGCTAAAAGAGGTTAAGGGATACGTGGATGCGTGAACAAAGTTACCAACGACAATGTGGGGACTGTCGTCTATCAGGGGGAAGAAAGCCGCTAAAGCAGGATGAAATGAGACTGAGTACAAAAGGGAGCTACGTATAAATTAGTAACGATTGTGCTTCTATATCTAGAGTACCACCAATAACACCGGATAAAACGGTTAATTCACTTCCGAAGTGAACGGATTATCTATCCCGATATGCACTCTGGAAAAAGAAAGTGTACACATGACCCAATAAATCTCAATAAATCGGTGTCAGAGGACGCTTTTCAAATTTCGGATCCTTTGTGCACGTACCACTACACACAAAAACAGCATGATCCCTTATTTGGCTCGTATCTTGGTCAACCGAGCAAATATTATTACTGATTTAAATCATCATCTGTCGCATTAGGCTTTTATCACATCTGTTTGTTTTACATTTAGTAAATGTATATTTCTTCTTTTTCCAATGCTTAACGTTTTCCTCACTGTAACTTGTTGAAAGTGCTGAAAATGTATCCTATTGGGTGCATAAAGCTTTACTTTACTTTACTTGATAATCAGATCAGCGGTATTCACACCAAACGTGAATTGGCGGCAACTTGGGGGCGAGGAAAGACAAGATTACTGGACATTCATAGATGATGAGATGAAGTTTTAAATTGCAAAAGGGTAACATAGATAACATAGATAGATAAATAAATAAATAAATAAATAAATATACATAAATAAAATAGATAGATAGATAGATAGATAGATAGATAGATAGATAGATAGATAGATAGATAGATACTAGATAGATAGATAGATAGATAGATAGATAGATAGATAGATAGATAGATAGATAGATAAAAAGATAGATAGATAGATAGATAGATAGATAGATAGATAGATAGATAGATAGATAGATAGAAGATAAAAAGCCAATGCCTTGAGCTTTAACCAATGCGACGAGCGTCAGACAGAAAACGTATTAACAGAGGTCAGAAAAAACTGATTCTAATACTCCTAATGAAAGGTATTTGAAATGTGAGAGAATATTTTGATCGCGAAGGTTATCGGTCTGTTGGTGTCAAACTAAGACCTGGAACGAGAGTATGAAATCCCTAACCAGGGTGCTGGGTCACATAGGTCCTGTTAGGCACCCTGGATAGGAAGCTCGGGATGATCGTAACTGATGGTTTAAGACACCGAGTGATATGGCTGTGTCATAAACAGTGGCGCTCGTGCATCTCAATTTCTGTGCAACCCTAGACCACTGAAATTCTCCATTTTCAATTCGACTCTACTTTCAATCTTCCTTTCTTTCTCTTATTCTTCATCTAAATGGGCAGCCAAAAGACAGCAACCAAAGCCGCCACACGGAGGTGCTCGGTTAATGGTTGTGCAACTGGAAGGAACTTGTTCGATAAGTAGGGTACATTGCGTAACGTGAACTTCAGACTTGTCCTAAAGGTGAAGTACTATAGGTCTGAAAAGCAACCTCCAATGAACTGAGATTGGTACACATCCCCATCTGACCATGTGATACCCTGGTTGTGAGTCCTTAAGGTGATCAACTGCTTTGATTTGGGCAGCCCGGTATTATTGGGCGTATAAATTGATTTTATTGCTACAGAGATAATGATATCAAGGCATGGTGGGCAACTCAGGTAACTCATGTAACGTTTTTCTTTTTCATAAAGATTATTATACCATGATTTGATTGACACACAGTCTGGATTCAGATTGCATATATAAGGCATTTTAACCTCCTCTGGACCTTCGGTCTGGCAGCAGTTTAAGATTAGCCAGTCAATCGAGTATACGCTATAGCTCAAAAACCTCACTCCAGAATGGTCATGCAGAGGACGAACTAGTGTCGAACATAAACAACACTAGGAGAGCATCTCAGCAGCTACAAGAAACGTCGTGAAATTGCAGGAATATCAGCCTCCAAACTATTTACCGTGCCGTTATCACCCTATACTCACCTACAGATGCGAAACAGGGGAGGGTTGAGCATAACAGAGGGCTAGAAAAATACAATCAGCGGTGCCTGACTCATACCCCTAAAATAAAATAGTGCAATAAATAAGTAAAGGGACGATGTCCCGACAGAAACAAACTCTTTATCCTCCCCCAGAGTCACAAGTTACAATGATTCGGACACCTATTAAGGTAACCCAAATCACGCTTATAATCAATCCTCGTACTGGTTGACTTTGCACCCTGGTGGATAGCTCAAACAGAGGATTATCGCTTTTGAAAACACGTAGAACTAATAAACCTCTAATGTGTATGTAGAAGTCAGCAGTAGAATAAAAACTTGGATTATAACCAGCACAGAGCTGGCTCCAAACCACCGCGCCGCGCCCACATTGATTTGCGATCTGCATCGAGTTGACTTATTCTATAGCGTCTAGTTTTGTGACTTTCAGGCATGTAGATCCCTCATTAGGCAAGGCTGCATTACCTCTACTTCCTCCCGGAGACACTAATAAAAGTATTGTGGATTATTTATCTATAATAATAATTATTATTATTAGTATTATTTATTTACTTTATTCGGACTATGGATGTGATACTCCAATTAAATTGGTAATGAACACTAGCGGTAAAAAATATAAGTTGCAAGAAAACGAATATGAGACTGAACATTTAGACATATTTATTAGGTTACTGATCAACAGTGTGGATGATATTTACGCTAACAACGCACACGAGCCAGGGCAAACAGACAACAAGATCACCTGAGGTCAGCCGATGCAACTTACCTCGATAATGGGGCAATTATCGAAAAAGGATGAGAACAGATTTACATTGATCGTAGCTGACATCAGGACCACGCGTAATTCCGGACGAGCCATGACAAGACATTTCACGAGACCTAGCAGGCAGTCCGTTTGCCAATGACGTTCGTGTACCTAAAATAGTGGTCAAATGCCAATCAGCAGGAGTGGAACTGAATGGTCACGAACTAGAGATGAAACGCTATGAGAAGGAACGACATGGATGATCGAATACATAAATCAATCCGAGAAAGTTTGAGTTCAAATTACGGAAGCAACGAAGGGCAAACAACTGGTTGGAGAAACCTTTCGGTGATGAAAAACACATGCGATAGTCTGGATAAATGTAACAACGAAATTTCTTGCAGGTTTTCTAGACCAGGAACTCGACTTCAAAAATGTCCACAATTTATCTTATCGCAGTTAGTTGGATCTACGGATCCCATATTGTGCTAATTACGAAGCCATTTAGCTCACACATATTAAATACAGCGAAAATGTCAGAAAAAGTTAATGAATTATACACAAAAAGAAATACATTTCTTCGCCCTCCCCCTAGTGCAAACATTGTTGGCATAGACCAAATGTGTTCGCTTTGGAAAGGGCGTCAGGAGAAAAACATGCCACAAAGGTTACGTAAGATCGCTGATTCCATTTGTGTCTCAAAAAGGCAACACAATTTACTTTGCCAGGTACAATTCCACTAAAAAGGTAACTGTGGACGTTGCTACAATTTGCCTCGTGTATCTTCTCAATTTCTTTGCAACATAAGTCCACTGAAATTCTCCATTTTATCTTCGACTCTACCTTCAACTTTCCTATCTCGCTCCTACCGCTTCAAAGCCGGCGCACGAAGGTGCATGGTTCATGCTTGTACAAACTGAAACTGTTGGAAACAACTTGATAAAATTTCTCTTGAATTTTACTTATTCTCCGTAACTGTGTAAAATGATGCCTGACCCTGGGTTGCAAGCGGCTGAAAATCGATCCATTAGGATGAATAATGTGATGTTACTTGACTTTCACAAAATAAGGGTCTCCGAGGACAGAAGCAAATAGCGTTTCCTTCCGGTTTACAGGTTCACAACTTAACAGCCATATCCATCGGAATGGTATGCTCTTTTTTGGAGATGTACATACATGGTAAACTCCGCGCGAACCCTAAGTGTTTGCACAGAGAGGGGAACTGTTCTCCCAGAGTGGGCTGTTCTGAAGAAAGACGAAAACTAATTATTTCATCCTTATGTATTCCTTGTATTGAGATCAAAGTGGTGCGCACATGAAATTAGTGAGGTAGCAAGAAATCACGCGTCTTAATGCACAAAACCAGATTCGGATACAATGGGGAAATATCAATGATATTACTGCATTGAGTATAAGTAGTTAAAATGCTTAATGGAAATTATTTAGCATTTAGGTTATTCGACCTTACCTCATCCAAAACCAATGCGTCGTATTCCTTCAAAAATGGATCTAACTGCATTTGTCGAAGAAGAAGGCCTTCTGTGACGAATACAATTTGTGTTCCTTTAGTTTTTGTGCGTTCAAAACGAACCTGAGAGAAAGAAGACCAGAAGAATTCGTTGGTGAGTCACCAGCCTTGTTCAGATAGGCAGGTAAATATGGGCGACGGAATGGATTACATGACAAAAACGCATGATAGAAAGAACTCAGATGAAAAAATACTAAGATAATTTATCGTCTTCAATAAATTATTCAAAACGATCATTTCTATTTGGATATTCGCGTCGGCGACTTTAAAACGCGCTGGCGGAAGAAGTTCAAGCATGACAATCACGACAAATCTATTATGGAACCACTCAAATGATTGAAAAAAATAGAAACGTAATATACATTTTTCCTTAAATTTTATTGATATATATATGACACATCTTCCTTTATCCGTCAATAAGTTGTACTATTAATTGGTTAAATGAAGAAGTGCAAAAAATCTCGAAAACTATCGCTTTCTCATTCGTTCATCAATTGTATAGATGGATATCAAAACTGGAAAAGTGAACCATAAAACACAGTTCATTTTGTGTATTTTCTTAGGTTAGATGATAAATAACCCATTGTTTTCTGGCGGTCACCGTGACCAGTCATACAGTTTATACGTGAATAAACAGACGACTAAGTATTTCAGGTTGGGTTGTTACAATTTTTGACACGTGTTACTGTTCTTCGATTCCGACCAAACTCGATGAGTAGTAAACTACTTCCGGTGTATTGCTATTTGTAACATAAAATGCAGTTTTACAAACTGTCTTGATGCTACTCGGTCCAGTTTGCTGAGTACGGTGAACTTTAACCCGACGGTCACTCCAAGTGAAGTTGAACGCCGATCCATAAGGATTTGACGACAAAATGCTCTTTAGCTCACTTTATTACTCATGAGTAGTCACGAGGTGAAACAAAATCTATTTGTTACTTACTGGATAGGCCATATGCGAAAAGAAACCAACAAACTAATCTTTTTTAAAAATGTATTGTCCTATTTTCAAATCTGTATTCAGTTGAGTTCGGTTTTTCAATGTAAAATGAGTTTTCAGTTATGGTAAGAACTTTTCATCGATTGTGCGAAAATGACTGCTCGACGGGAACCCCGAAGACTGATTGCTAAAGCGTTTAACCGATTTCGCAGTTCTAACTTCTACGAGCTCTTCTGTCACCAAAGCTTGTAAACTGTAATATGGGCACTATTGCAGTTGAACAATCAATGATCTAGACTGCATACTTGAAGTTGCCATCTACGTTTCAGCGGCAGTGACTGCTGGGCAGTTACAGAAAGTTCTCATCTGATCTGTACAATCTGATCCTTTTAATGTGATTTTTTCACTGCCTGTTGTCTGGTTACTTGGACACGAATACACACAACAGCAACAGTGAAGCAATACAACAGAGATCAGTACAGAACGCAAACAGTGAAATAAAAAACTCTTTTCACTTTAGAAACTGCCTGATTTTGTCTGAAATACAATAGGAAAAAAATGAGCCACGGCTTGAGGAGTGCATGACTGAAATGTGTAGTCACCTGATATGCCACTTTAGATCCAAGTTCATTTAACATTTCAGTGCTGACTCGGGCAGCAAGACTAATGCAAGCGATCCTCCTCGGTTGAGTGACAGCAATATGTTGATATCCTTTTCCTATCGGTTGACCACATGAATCCAGCTCACCAGCATGTAGGTATTGTGGAACTTGAGTGGATTTTCCACACCCAGTGTCACCAGCCACAACCACAACACGATGATCGGACAGTTGATCCAACAGTTGTGAACGAAATGCCGCCATTGGTAAAGCAGCTTGATCGCGCCTCAGTTTTACTATGCGAGCCACCTGCAAAGGTTACATAATAATAGACTACGATACGAATCTCATTCAAATGACTTTTAAGGGATAGAAAATAAGCGTGCGCATCATAGGATGTTAATTAATATAATGCGGCTATGGATGCTTCTGAGATAAAATAAATGTCTTATTATATCACATGTACACAACAAAACGCTATTATCACTCGTTTTAGGCATCAGTGCTCCCAGTGACCCCCTTTAATCGAAGTTTAAGCCACACGTGGGTAAGAAAGATGCTTATCGTTCCTTCACTAATGCAATTCTTTTATAAATCATTTTAAAGATCCTAAAATCCATTCGCTTTGTATTCATCGATTATTCTTTGATTTTTACATATTGTTAACCATCCGATCCTCTTCTTCTTAGGTTACGGCTGTTTGGTTGTTCCATCACGTTACCCTCGTGGTTGAAAAACTATTTCTCGGGAAGAATTCTAAGAGCAAAAACAAACGGAATCGTTTCTAAATCTTCAGGCCCCTGAGGTGTAGTGCGTTCGACATACTTATTTCTGACATTTATCAGTGAACTGCCCATTAGCCATACAGCCAAGACCGTTACACACGCTGATGAAATGGTTCCATGTCAATTCATTTCAAACCGAATGGCCTTATTTAATATTACGTTTGCTGAGATCATCAGCGTTATGGAAAATACCTAAACAGTTATTCCATATTCCGATTAAGACGAATTGTGATGGAAGGCAGTACAAAGGGAGTCCTGGTTAACGACCGAATCAAGAATGGAGCTCATCCATCCAGATGCGCAGACGCAGCGGCGGGAAGTGCCTTGCGAGACAATGTTGACTGCCACCAGAAACGAGCGAATCGACAATTACAGCCCGACAGACCATCTGCAGCCAGCGGGAAAGATACCCACCGAATGCCACAACGTCGGAGCTGTCGGTGAACGCATCTCGCGCCGCGATCGGATCAAACCAGTCGGAATGGCACGCGGAAGAAGAGGCAACGTACGTGCCAAGTGCGGACCAAAACCAAGAAGGAATGACCCACAGAAAGAGGCATGAATCATCCCGCCGCGCGGTTGAGAATTGATTGTACATAATCGAACGCATACACTGTTTGCTTTTGAATCGGATCAATGGAGGTTTTTCCCAGCCAGCTCTCCTTCTCGCTAAAGAATGATAACCAACGGTAACGCTGAATTTTATACATTTATTTGACTTTCAGTTCTGTCCTCAGTGAACCGGTGTGTGGCTAACAATACTATGTAAACGGTTCCTTTTTTGTGGGTACGGATACTCTTGGTTAAAATGTGAAAAAATGGTTTGCTCTCTCTCCCTCATTGCGAAGTTAGTCCGATAATTGAAAAAAAAATCTGCGAAACACCAATGCATCAGCGATCTATTTTTACATCAAGCAAAATCCGAATACATTTCCTCAATTTATCAACTTTGCAGGAACGCAATAATTCAAAACTTAGTGCACCGGTAATCCGACAAAACCTGCTCGATTTCACTGCACAGAAGAAACAGATTTTTGTGCATGGAAAAATGTAGAGAGAAGTGAAGTGCAAGCGTACGAACTACTACTCGTTCATCCAGGGGAGCTGAAAAATCCTGATTTCAACGTTCACAAGGAGAGGCGTGCAAATGTGTGAATCAGGCCCGCAAGGTGTAACCTCCAAACAATGGAACACTGGTCTCCAATACACAGCATCTCTTACCTACCAACTCGCTGCACTGTGGATTGTCTAGTCGAAGGCTTCGGTAATAAATCCCGAAAAGCTTCAACTGCTTTAGTTTGGATAACATCGTAACATTCACCTTCGAGCAAACCCAGGGGCCAATTCATTTATCATTGAATCATGGTTTACATGGCGTACTTTCTTGAATAAGACCACTGAATTTATCATTCCTTCTTGTTCGGACAATCGATTTCACGGTGCCGCAAACCATTTAGGGGCTGTGAAAGTAAACGCTTGTAAACATTCACTAAAAAATGTTACTTCGGGTCATTATATAATATATATATATATATATATATATCATAAGTAGTAGTCATAGTAGTCCTTGGAGTGACAACGAAAATGGGGTCAGATACACGTGTCTGTTACGCAAACCGCTGCATGGGGCAATGAACCACACAAGATCTCACAATGAGAAGAACAGACATATTATGGTAGATCGCAACAATGGTATAATAAAATTCAAAATAACTTGGTGAATTCAGTGCCTGATTTCCAGGTCAGATAGCAAATCAGCGATAAAAACTGCAAAAGTAACCGTAAAAGCCTCATTTACTCATGGACTTACTTTCTGTTTTTGCAGAAAATCCACGTACATGTCGAAAATCAAATGAAAGCACAGCAAATTTTCACGAGACAGACTACGGGATGACCGAGCTAAGAAATGAGATTATAACCAAATGAAACACACAATCGGCTTCTCCATGTCTGATATAGTCTTCCAGGTTATAGTTGACAGTTCGGATATTCAAACGAGCCTGTTTCTGAGATAATAAACGAGAACTTTGACCTGTACCGACTATGTAATCAGTTAGAAAACAACTTACCTCCGACCTTGCACCGGGACTGTATCCATTTCTGTAACTTCTGCAGAAAATTCCAAAACTCATTATAAGCATTTGAGTGACTAAACTACAGATGAGTTGAACGGTGAGTGAACATTACCGAGGAATGATAGGATTTTTGCGTTCGGGGAAAAATAGTTCCGTTAGGCGTTTTTTATGACTAACATAATCACATAGGCAGTCGCTATCCACAACCTCCATAAAGCAAACAGTGTGGAAAGGTTCCGGATGAAATCCGTCTGAGAAGGAAAAAGCATGAGATAAAATATCATTTTGTGAGTACTTGAAAAACAAAATCCGAGGTTCTAGTGATTACGATTTTTAAACAAACACCCTTCATAATCAAAGGAAGATGATTTCATTTGTATTTATTCTTTCACTTGCGTTTATGGAACATGTAATGATGCAAACAATTTTTGAGGGCGAAATAACCAATCATCATCATCATTGTACAGCAAAATACAGTGAGGCGAACTTCACTGATCGCTACCGAACTCGCAATGCATACAAGGTTAGTGGTAAAATTCAAGGTGGACAGGGAGTGGAACCATTTGGAGGGAAGGGGGAAGAAGGTGCACCTCTATGGTCAACACAATCGAACTCTGCATTCTGGCCTGATAAGAAATGACCGCGTTGAATGAACTACCTAACATCGAAATGGTAACAAATTTCAATAGCTATGAAGCAGTTTTTTCGGCCCACACGAAGTATTTGATGGGAGATGTTTGGTAAACAAATCAGAACTATCGTCAACGTAGTGATGGCTTGCGTGCCTCTATGACCCTGCGAGCTACACAGGATGGCTTTTCACAGCCGAGGATTCAATCATGCCTGAAAAGTCAAAGGGTAGGATCAGATAAAGCTCAGTCTCACAAGGGCAGCTGCTTGAGCATCTCTTCCTACCTGGAGAGGTCAGTCCAGGAAAATAAACCCGGGTAGAGGCAGTCTATTGGTCAAAAAGCCCCGCTAGATGGACGTAGAAGCGGGGTACCTGTGGATGTTTTCCGACAGTGGAAGAAGTCTTCGAACTTTATTGGACAGCTTCCGCCCGTCCAAGCTGAGTAACCTCGAGCCAATAAGGTGCTGTCCCATCCATGTTCCGCCTATCTCATTAGGTGCATGAAGCTAAGGGCCGATCCCTTACAGCGAACCGTAAATAAATACACCAGCGAACAACACACTGAACCGAAACCCAAAGGCCTTGCGTGGCAGGCCCGTAGAAGCT